CTCCACAAGCTGTTTTATTTGAGTATTATCATAAGCATCGAATTGGCTCCCACTGTCCCATCCACCCACTCACTGCACACTCCAGGTAGGAGGTTTTGGGAAGGCTTTAACCCAGCATAACCCATTTCCATCCTATGCATTCACTTAGCCTTATTTTCTAATCCTGTAAAATCCTCAATTCAGAAGAAAGAAGGAAGGCTTCACTTATTAAATACCAACAAGATGGAGTGGATCCAACATTTCCAAGCAGACAGTGCTACAAGGTACCTTCTTCTGTGTAATTCAGAATTTCTAATGTAACTGCCCTTTTTTACCCCCACAATATGGGTTTACTATAACCATGGCAATGCAAAGTCTATTTAAACAAATCACTTGGTTGAGTCAGAAAGAATGCCAGAGCATCAGTCCCAGAGACTGGGCCTTTGGCAGAGGTTCAATGAAGTTCAAAATAAAAAGCTGAAGTAGGGAGCTTTCCAGAAAATGAAAGAGAATGTAGTCAAGGTGGAAACCCAACTCTGTGATAGTGAAAAATCTTCAAATATGCCTATATGTGCAAGTTGATTTTAAAAGATTTGAGAAGACATTCCTATTTCTAATTTGGCCATGGAGCACCAGAAGAGGAAAAAAAAAGTGTGGTTAAAGTCCACATCCCTCTGAACTAGCAAAGACACCCTTTTCAGTTAACAAGCCAGGAACACAAGCAGTCCTTGTCTTTGCAGTATTTATATCTTTACAAAGGTGTTTTCTGAACACAAATTCTAAACCAGAATCAAACATATGCTTAAAGATCAATATCCCTAATTGCCATAAAAAAACCCCACCAGTTAAAAATTCCCATTTTGTTAAATCAGGATCATAGTGTTTGGTTTTTGTATATTCAACATAAGAGAGAAAACTACCAGTAGGGAAAAAAACCCTTTTTCTAGCAATCCTTTTTATGTCACAAAATAATCACTCCTATACAGCACACAATACTCGACAGTACTTTTTTCTCCTCCCTGGGCAATTTATGTAAGTGGTAACATGAAGAGGACATCCATATGTGTGTTTGCACCTGCTGGGTCAGAGAGACCTTGTTCCCTACTCCCAGTGCTGGCAGTGAAGGGCTTTGATGCCAGCATGCATTCCCATGGGTTTCTGGAAAGCTAACTACAAGAATGTTTCCTGTCAGAAAGGAAATGAATCCTGTCACAGCAGGAAAATCATCACCTATTCTTCTTGTGTAAGTGGTCTGAAGGGATTACGTTTCTCAGTTACTGTGTTAATTTAGGCTTTTAATGTGTTTTATCATGAGTATTTAAAGCTATTAGTTAGGAAAGATTCATACCACTATGGGAAAGAGCACAAAGATGCCTATCAGGCCTGTATACAATGAAATACTTCAGTTTATTATCTTTCAATTTTTTATTTCTATTCCCAAAATGACATAGTTTGCTGTGTTGAATTAATTTCCTAGCAGCCAATACTGCATGATGCAACATGACCATATTGGATTATTCTATTTTGATGTTTGAATGTTCTACCAAAGCTTTCTAGAGTTTTTTTGGTCTCCTTTTTCAGGCCTGCAAAAAGAATTTATTTAAAAAGGGGGGAAAAGACTCCATATGAAAATTATGTATGTGTTAATATACAAAGAGAAGATTCCTTGGAAGGGAAACGGCAAAACATTTGAAAAGGCCAATGCAGACTACAGATCTGTTATCCCCAACTCCTTAATTTTCTGGATTATCTCCCTCACCATCCTCAGTACGTTGTCATCTTATTGCAAAAGCTCCATACCTTCTTGGTGATTTCTCATGAGCAGCTCCTCACAGCACTGACTCCTTCACAGCACAGCAAACAAACTCCATCAAACTTCTGAACCAGCCAACCTGCTCTTTTATAGTACCCATCCTAACTGGATCCAGCTGTGGCCTATTAAGGGCAGGCCGGTTCTATTCTCCTACATTCCATCCATCCACAGCAGTATACCTCAGGAACAACAGAGGAAGCACTGGCTGTTCACAAATTCAAGCACAAGTCTTTAATGCTCTAAAAGCACATCTTTAACACACAATAATTTCAAAGAGAGAAATGCAAGCATAGAAGTTTAAAATCCTTGTCCTGTGAAAACCAACTATAGCAGGTTTAAAAAGTGCTTACACATTTATCCAGATTATTGACCTTTCCAGCAAAAGGAAACAATGTCCTTTCAAAACACACTGTAAATAATTAATAACTGAGTATATACTCTTCCCAAAAACATATAATACTTTCACATATTAGATGTAATAAACAGGATTACTCATTCTTTAAACACTCTATAAAGAAATCAGAGCTATTTTAATGTCATACATACACAATTGCTTTGTGAAAGCAATTCAAGTCCAGACACTCAGAAAATGAAGTATTTTAGAATACTATGGAATACTATACTCAAGACTTCTAGTGGTAAAAGTCTTCCTGCTAATTACTACACAAAGCAAGAATGAATCATAGAGTTATTTTATGCAACAGTATTCAAAACAAGAAAGAAGAAAAGGGAATTTAATCCTCAGTTATTTGTGTGGATCTTTCCTGCACTAGAAAAATAAAAGCCCTGAACTTGCATGAGGGACCTTAAATACTCAGGGGAGTTGTTGAAGTGTTTGATGCATAATAGCTGCTAAATCAGTGACCTCAGGAGAGCCATGGGGCCTATATGGAAAAATCTGTGATTTGAACAGTGGGATTTAAGATGAAAGGCAACTCTGAAAAGCAAGTTGTGCCATTCTGAATAAATCTTTGTGATTATCTCCTTCTCTTCTCTTAAACACTTGTAATCTTTGAAAAGGAAAAACCACCACAAAAGAAAAGAAAAAAGTCAAGTCACTTGATAAAGTTTTAGGCTCCATAAAGGTCCCACATGCATTACAACACAATTTTAATGAAAATAATCAAGGCAAGTCTATGAGTGAATCAGTCCTGTCAGAAATTAGTTTCATTCTTCCCAGTTAGCTTCTGAACACTGATTATAGCAGCTGATACTCACAGAAGCCACTATGTTTTTTCTTTCTTTATATAAACTACTGCATAAAACTTAGCAGCTGAAAAGGCTTGACTGCTGTCTCTCTGTGGCTTTTTGTTAACTGCTTGATCTGCAACTTAAACAGAATTACAGCCACGCACTTTCAAGAAATTCACAATTGTAGGTAATAATCAGCATTTTCCCTACAGTTTTAGAAAAGACCCTACTATACTCCCAATCAGTTATATGGTACACCTCCATAAAGTTTTAGATGATAAACCTGCACTTTGTGGCTGAAATAAGGCAATAAAATTTAGTTGTATTCTTTAGCATCATTAGCACTGCCTGTGAATTGAGGACTTTAACTCCCATGCTCCGTCAGCAGAATGCACAAGCACGGAATGTACATGAGCACACTAATTACACACAAATGAAAAGCACCACTAGATTCAGTACATTCTTAGTTTTATTTTCTGATGGGAGAAAAAAGGCTATGAGAACATTATTTTGAATTGTAAGAAGCAGCTTGATAGAAAATAAGTATTTGAAATATGTTAAGTAAGACTTAGGTGACATTAACTAATAAGCTCATGGGGTTGGGTTGCATGGTTATTTTATCCTTTAAAATATATACACACCTACTGCCATAGTCATAAAATCTTAATTCTCAATATTGAACTGCCCTTTCTATAAAATTGATACAGATTTTGCTGAACAAATTCTACTACTTAATACTGAACAGAATGAAGACTTCCGATTCACACATTCCAGCTGTCCTTGTAGCAAACAGGTAGGAATTATAATTTCAAACCCTCCCGTAGGTATGGAGCCCCTGCTGGGATTCACAGGCGGAGAGGGACACTGGAAAAGCGTTTGAAAAGTAAGAAAGAGCCCCTGATGTTGTTCATCTGCTGCCCCCTCCTGGAGGAACACAAACAAAGCGCCCCAGGAACACAGCTGGATTTCCAGGTCCCTCTTTCAACACTTTGCTGGTAACCTCCTGACAGCAGATCTTTCTCAGTTTAAAGGAATTCCTTGAAGCTTTATAGTAACCATAGACTCTAAAATATACTCCCCATGTGCATCTGTTAATGTGAGCACAACGAGAGGCAGTTGTGGAACACAGAGAAAATGAGGCAGTTTGCTCTGGAGCTCTGTGCAGGGCACAGCCCGTGTCACAGTCACAGTGAGCACAGCAGGGTTATCCTCACACCCTTCTGCCACCAGCCATTCCTTCTGTGCCGCAGGACACACCACTGAGCTGGCTGTGATTCCCAACAGATCCCGCTCTGCTGTCGGGACAGAGCCTTTAGTGGAAAGAATTACGGGACAGCTGCAGGCTGGGACTACGGCCAATGCCAATTTTATGAGTTTGCACCTCAGGGGGACTGTAGGAAATGAACAGTGTTGACATGAAGTTTGTTTTGCTGTACAAAAGTCAAGCAAAGCTCAAGTCAGAAGTACGTACAAAAAGTTCAAGTAAATTCTTAATCTCCCTCTTCCAGGGAGAGCTCCAGCCACCCAGTCTATAAAAGCTCATTTTTCCTTCAAAACAGAGCTGTAGCATGTACATCAGACATCACATTTCAAATGTAACCTCAGATAAAATTTGGGTGGTCATACTCCAGTGTAACTCCACAAGTAACTGTTGTAATGATGTAACAATTTAAAGTGCTTAACATTATACTTCTGCCACTTAAAACAGTGATACATTTTGTTAACTGACTACTTGATTTTAAAAAAACCTAGAAGGCAGAGTGTGCAAGGTAGACCATCAGCACATTGGTCTGTTCCCTACTTACTAACAAAAAGGCTCCAGCCCACTTCAAGCAATCATGCCTTTGACTAGCAGAACCCAAACTCCATTTTTGCTTTCTTTTTATTATACCAATTTCAGAGACCTACTAAAACATGCATTTATTACTTTCCATGTGAGCAATAACTTCAAATGAAGAAAGCCGGATTCAGTATAGACAATTATTTAAGTCCTAGAAAACAGTGGGATAAAGAAGCCTTTGGGGAAAAAGCATTGATGATTTGAGTTTATTTATGATACACAACTGTGAAAGTGACTTCTCTAGTCAAACTATTGTAAAAATGTTTTCTGACAATGTAACAGACACGTATGGCTGTAAACAACAACAAAAAGAGAAAACATCCCCAGCCAAATGTACATACTTAGAAGAAACCCAGAGAAAGAGAGGTACTCAAGTTTCTCTACCTAAATATTAGAAAAGCTATCAGATTTTGATATTTTGCAATGTCAACTCATGGACAGGTGATGGCTAGAGATTATTATCTTCTTTATCAAAGAAAAAGAGATCTTTTCTGAATAACAGGAAATCATCAAACGCCTTCTCAAAATCTCTTTGGAAGAAAGGATGCACTTGAGGTCGGGCAAAGTCTTGGTATTAATTCTTACAAAGTGCAAATAAGTAGAATTTTACATTAACTGATAAAATTGGTGCTTCAGTTAATATTCCTCTTAAAAATGCAGCCATGACCCAAAGGAAGCTGTTTTTTCACCTAGTTAACTTGCAGCATTCCAAGAAGTCTCACAGCATTTCTCTTGGCTCCTGAAAGAACCCATTTCAGCACCTGTACTTTGTTATTGCCTGTAACAAACTACAGCAGAAAACCATAGCTGCACTTTTTGATCAGCACATGCTTACTTTATTCCAAAGACTGGTACTATCACAAATCAAGAAGGAGGCAGCTAATTTTATTTTTGTTCAGGCTATCAAAAAGCAACTTTGTTACAAAAATATGTAAGTAAATCAGCAAATAGAGAGATGTGCCAGATTACTAAATATTCTATAATTAAGAAACAAAATAGCAAGCTTTGCTATAATACAGATCATACCTACTGTACATGTTACATTTAAATTAGCTTGAATCCTTCTTTCAAGTTGCTTTTGTGTTGAAACACACAGGATTATCTTCAGGCTTCTTCCTTCTCTTCCATTTGTGGTTTTGCTTGTGATGTCCACTCAATTGATGTCTGGTTTTGAATACCTGATCCCAAAATGAAGACAAAAGGGTGGTAGCAGTTCTGTAATTTTCCATATGCTCCTTCAACTCTTCTCTGGATTGCCATTTAAGAAATAAGCTTACTAAGCTTAAGTAAACTAATTAAAAAAAAAATAAAATAAAATACACTACACCAATATTTTGTAATACCATCAGTGATGGGAAGACTTAAAAATCTGAGATATGAAACTTTCAGGTGAGGAAAGACAAAGCTGTAGAGAACATAAACCTTGCTCCTCATTCTGTGCTATGTTTGTGCAACACATAAAGTAGAGCTTCTCAAGAAAAGTAATTGGAGTTGGTTTTTGTTTGTTCATTTGTTGTGTTGCTTGGGGTTTTTTTAACCTGTAGGGCAAAATTAGATGCAAGTTAAAGTAATTTTGAGGAACGAACTGGTCTGTTTTATTTTGTATATACTGCAAATACAATGAATAGGTTTAATGTTTAACTGCCATTCACACACCTCTTGGAAATACAGATTATCATTACCGGACGCACAGTTGCATTATAAAATTGCTAAAGTGCTGCTCAGCACAATGAAAGATAAAAACAAAATTAGGTAAGCACAAATTATAATCATAAAAATGACAGCATTTGAAAAGTTACTATTGCATTTCACGTACTTGCCACGACAATAAATATCCCTTTCTTTTTAAAACTGACAATGCAGGAAAGAGAAACATGATTTTCAGGTTACTCATTTGACCTGAATTGCTTTGTTTTACCAGATTACAATGTATTTATCATATAAAAGCTTTATCCTGCAATGCACATTTCTAACATTCCTGTGTTTTCTAAGTTTCCTCAGGTAAACCTCCAGTGATCATAGTACATGCAGATGAAGAACAACCAACCTTTTTACATAATATGGCTACCATGCTACAAAGATTTGATTTGCGTTATGTTATGTATTGCATTTCACGTACTTGCCACGACAAGAAATATCGCTTTCTTTTTTAAAGTGACAATGCAGGAAGGAGAAACATGATTTTCAGGTTACTCATTTGACCTGAATTGCTTTGTTTTACCAGATTACAATGTATTTATCATATAAAAGCTTTATCCTGCAATGCACATTTCTAACATTCCTGTGTTTTCTAAGTTTCCTCAGGTAAACCTCCAGTGATCATAGTACATGCAGATGAAGAACAACCAACCTTTTTACATAATATGGCTACCATGCTACAAAGAATTGATTTTCGTTATGTTATGAATATCAAAAATTGTTAAAATAACATAAAATGCTAATTATGTTAAGACTAATACAAAGATCAGTGAAATGTCAAACTAAGATATAACCTTAAGAAAAAAGTGCTGCATACACTTTTAAATATATACCATACTTTGTAAAATTAGGGTGAAAAAGCCCATTACATGATTGAAAAGATACCCGGTGTTTGTTTCAGAGTAAGTGAAATACTTTCAACAATGCAAGTATCATTTGGCACAGAATAACTTAATTTGACTCAATTTTTTAGGTGCTGATTAGTTTGTCTATTACTGCTTTTGTACTAGCAACAAACTACCAAAATACCAAAAATTGTCCTTTCACCACCCTCCCAAAAGCATACAAACATATAAAAGCTGATGCTAATTGTTATATAAATAAATCAATCTCAAAACTGTAGTACCAACTCTGAAGATAATTTGTAAAAGCAGAACCTGATCATGAGACATTTCAGCAGACTGCTGTTTACAAAAAGAAACATTTAAAGACTTTTTCCTCACCCAGTGTCACTAAACCTTATTTATTAAATTGCCCACTCCTTTTAATGTGATGACACAGCAAGCATCAGATTACAAATTCTGCTGGATTCTGGAGTCTCTAGTGACTAAGAGAAAAGGGAGGATAAATTGCCAGTTTTGTGACCATGTACAGATTAAAAAATATTTAAGAATCTTATTGCTTTTCTCATTTGCTGTATTCAAGCATAAATACTTACCTGAGGCTCCAATCCAGTGTACACCAGCGTGGTTCAGTCAAGACACCACCAACACATGTAAGGATGATGTGAGGGAGCTGAAGCCAGTAACTCTGAAGGGTCTGTATGTCACAGGACATAAGGAAGAAATATATGAACTTTTATATAGCCACTGCATGGCACATTCATGGGGTACAGCAATGTAGAACCTAGTAACTCAGAACATACAGCAGTACATACTGCTAAAGAAGACAGCATTTCTGGTCATTTATTTTAGTGTATTAAGGTAAATTCCCAACAATTTTCCCAAAACATAAATAAAGCTGTATTAAAAAAACTCAAAAATGCCTCAACTCATTAAGGTGGCTGAGACAAGAAATAAAAATTTGGTATTGCCAAACTTAAAGTTAAATTGCCAAAATCAAAGTTGCCTTGGTAACCTTAATCTCATTGTTTTTTGTATATCTACTCTGCTCTCTAAAGAATAAAGCAAGGTTAATGAAGCCCACCCATTCTACACAATGAATTTCAAAAGGATCAGTGGGAACAGAAATTTGCATACAGGCAAATCAGGCAATTGAAGATTTTGCAAGTGTACCCACCCACACAGATGAGTGCTTGGCTTTTTGACCTGTATTGAGAGCTCTCTTGATTTATTTTTTTTTTAATGTGATTTTGTTTTCTTTTCAACACTCAACAAGTTTTAGGTTTCATTTTTGGAATCAAAATACCTAAGAAGTTAAAACATTAATGCCAAGTTTCACAATGGGGAATTATATATATATATACATATATATATAGACACACCCCCTGAAACCCTCTGATGCTTGAACTGTCATTTGAGTAATGGCAGCAACAGTAAATAGAAGTGATTGTGCACCCTGTTAATTTAATGCTGGTTCACATGTCTGAGATTAAATCCTTCTGTCCACTTCAAACCAAACTGGTCCAAGTTATTCTCATTTTCTGACACTTCCCATTATTTTACTATTTGCCCACTTTGCCATGACCCATTATCACTCTTCCTAACATGCCAAATTCTGCTTAAGTTCATCTCCTCATCTCGTCTTTATCTCTGGCAAGAGCTCACAGGTTTTCCAGCCCCACTGGTGTTCAGTATCCAACATTTTTTATACGTTGTCTACAAAAGAATTAAAAACCTTTGCAAGCCAGGTGCCAAAGGAAACTGGCAAGTCTTCCTAGTTCCTATCCCTGCCTCCCAAAAACAGTCTGTCACAATTAGCTTCCTGCAGTAAGGTATTGTCATTGTTCACTGCATTTTTCAGAGACACTTAAAAGGCCAAATCTCAACAGATCTTTCCATCAGGAATGTGGCCTTTCAACTGTTCTAACAGAAGACACCTCCTGAAAAATGCTTATATATTTCCTTCAAGCCATGGACTGTTAGGGCTTTTAAAATAAAAGGTATCTACAGTCTTGCAGGTTCTACTTGAAAACATTATGGACAGGAAGTTCTCCCCATATACTTTCTAGAAAATTGGGTGAATCATTTTGGTTGATTTGCACACTTGACATCATTAAATGCCCAAAAAGAAATCAGGAAGAGACTAAACTCTTGGGTAAAAATAGATATAAACTGAATATTGAACCTAGATGGTCATCATGAAGAGTGTTACAGTTCTGGTATTACTTCAGTCACATGGACATAAAGTTTAAGCCAGAAAAGCTTCAGACATGAAGCATCCTTCAGCTTTGACATTCTCAGCAGTACAACATCCCCAGTCCCAGTTTAGCAACACAACAAACAACAAAAAGATAAGGTAATAGAGTCTTCCTTGTATGAAGCAAGGATCTCTGCCTCTTGCAGATGGAAATAAAGCTTCACTGAGATGAAGCAACACTTGACAAAGGAAGATAGACTTGCTGCTACCAACTTAACAAGGCAGAATTTCCATTTAAACTAACAGCTAGTTATCCAACCAAGCAATTATCAATTGCCAAAAGGAGCCCATCAGAAACTCAAATCAGCCTAAGAAGTACTCAAAACCCAAGCATCTCATCATGTCCTGCCATCCAGATTTCCTGCACTGAATGTTGCCTTTTCTCCTCTACCTATGTAAGAGCTGCTCAGCTGCAAGCTCAATGCAGCTGCCACATCCCAGCCCACCTACTGCCTTGGAAAGATGGGGATCCTTGTTGACTGCCCTCAAGCAAACCCTAAGAAATTCCTAATCCTTCCACCCTGCCCTTCAAACCACTGTTCTAATCTATCTTAATGAGTTTTAAAGCTTTCTTCCATCAATTAAAGCAAATTTACTTGTACGTACACTTGTATTAAGCAAATATTTAGCACTGAAAGAGAAAAAAAAATATAAATAACTGCACATCTTAAATTCAGTACAGTTAGACACAGTACCTGTGCTTGCACAGATGCTTCCAGACCTTGATCCATTCCTTAGTTGTATTAAAAGCTGTGGTTTGTTGCAGTAGCTTAAAACAAGAGCAAATACAGAAGAAAGACATTTATCTACATTAAAGTTATTAACATAAATGTTCAAATTGAACTCCTATGTAGTATTAAAGTGTTTTGTGGTTATTTAGGCAATAGGAGGCCAAATTTGGCTGAGATGCACAGCAAGAAAGAGCAATTATTAATTATTAAGATATTCATAATTTGACATGGGGACTGTGGCAGCAAATCCAAGGTTAGTTCAGCTCTAAGAATCCTTAGTGCACCCACAATGTCAAAACAAACAAAAGCCAAAACAAACCAAAACATGACAACAAGGAGCTCTCAAAGATTTCAAACCACAATCAAAAATTAATTAGAAAAATATGCACTTGCTGGGAGTTATTTTGTTGTGAATTATGGAGCATATGAAAAATACTGAAGGAACAGAGACTTCAGAATACCCAAGCTTCAAAGGATTATTTTTAGTGGCAGACACAACACCCTTTACGTGTCCATTTTCTTCTGTGCATATCTGCTGACAGTCTAAATTTGGTCTGGAAAAAAAATAGTGTTAGGAGGTTGCAGGTTTTGCACAGAGGATTTCTGTTTAAAGGGAAATGCAATTGAGACCACTAACCCTTTCTTGTAAATATAAATATATTTTATATATATATATATCTTTCAATATAAAATAAGTCAACTTTGCAGCAACTTCTGCACTCTTTTTTAAGATTTATGATTCAATTTATACATTGCTTTCCACTAACCAGTTAGGGTTTCAAGTGGATTAAAAGCTACAACAAGCATATTGAACTGAATAATGTTAGCAATTACAGTGAGAACTTGACACAAAGTTAAACACAAGCTTAGTGCTAAGAAGTTGTACTTAAAACTATTTCAAAAACTGTCCCCATAGCCAGCAGGAAGAATCTCATTGTAGCAGCTCCACAAGCACAAGGAATCAGCAGACAACAGCTCCTTACAATTCTACAATAAAGCTTCCTTTAACAGAGTGAAACATCTGAAAAACATTAGCAAGTTGAAATTTCTTAGTTTCTTTACTGTTTTTTCTGCTCCTCAAAAATGTATAGACATTAGCATGGTGTTAAATATTTAGAAAGGTTTCCTTTGCTCACATTTATCACAAAAATGTAAGCAATATTAAGAAAAAAATCTTTAAAAAATTACAATTCCACACTACCAAGAGCTTAAAAAAATTATGAAGTATTTAACCTATCAAATTTTTCACTAGGAAACTAAAATTAAGTAAACTTTCTGCATGTTAACATAACAATGAACAGTAAGTTATAATCTTCAAAATTCATCGCCCCCACACATAATGGAAATTGTCAAAAGAGCATCTCAGGAAACCCAGTTCCAGGTTTTTTCACTACAGTTGTAAGGAAGATGGATTTTTAATCCCCACACCTCCCACCCAAAGGGAATGAAAATACTCATTCAAGAGACAATTTATAATTTGTTAATAAAAAGCAGTTCTCCTTTCACTTAAAAAACCAACAGTTTGTATAAGTACTCATAGTTTTTTTCACTGCTGTAGTCATCTGTTTTGAAGTACTGTGAATTTCAATTGTCCTTCCATGTGCTCTCCTTCCTACCCCCTTAGAGAAAAAGTTATATTGGACTGCAGCCTTGTTCTTGCCTTACAGTCACAATTATGGGGACACTGTAATTTACTGTGAAGCAAATAAAAAACTTGTTTTGTTTTTAGTTCTAAAAATTTCTGTTTTCTCTGTTACTTTTCCTCCAGAAACTCTGCTATAACCTTTTAAAAAATTCTATCTCCTGCCTTGTCAAGCAGAAAAAACCTCAGAACAAGCCCATGTATCCCAAAGACAACAAAGGCATCAAAACTAGACAGCATAACACATAATGCAATCTAAACCTTTCCCTCAAAACCCTTCACAATCTGATCTAAGCCCTACATCACGACACAGATGCCTGGCTGCAGCCACAGGATGCCCTGTCACTCCACTTTCCTTCGTTTCCTTACCTGACCACTGCCACAAACTCCAGCACACACCCCTCACCTTATTTGACAATCACCTGCTCTTTCACTTGGCCATCCTGAGCAATCAGAACCAAAGCAGCAGCTCAACCCATGAAGCAAGAACTTGGTTTATATCCCAGCAGCAGCCAGGGTAACCTTGCTAAAATCAATCTATCACTGCAACCACCTGCAATACTGAATGGTTAAACAGAAAAATGCCCAGACTACCTTTGTAGGTAGGCACTGTCATTCAAGATTTTTACCTACAGATATGAAGGTAAGCACGAAATGCACAATTTTATGGAGGGCAAAGCACTTGAAATTATTAACAGAAGCATTGTTTAAGCAATGAGGAAAAAAGTGTAATTGGTACAAAAGTGAGATTTGTAGTTAAAGCAAAGTGGAACAGAACTACAACACTGGAACTTTTATGATTTAGGACAGATTATTCTAGTCATGGTCTTTCATTTATAAATGGAGATAATATTTAGCTACAAGAAATGTCACCAAATGCAGAGCTAAAAGGTATTCACCTATATAGAAGTACCTTCACAGTAACGTTAAGAGTCACTAAAAAGCTACTAATATTGAAATTGTTGGATATGATGGTCAACTACTCATAGAAACAGTCATAATCCAAAATATGAAATGAGAAAGGATTTTGCAGAATGAACATCATCAAAATGTGAACATTTACAACACATTTTTAGAATTTTTACAGTTCGTATGTTTTCTTTGCTCAAACCAGCATGAAGCTGTTTTACAGTAGCTTCTGGTAATAGCATTTACAGTTCATACTGAAAATGAACTGTATAGTTAATTTTCATAATACTGAAATCAGTATTCTGAAAAGGTTCCAATACATTTTGCATTGACCAAACAAAGTTATTTGCAGCAATAAGTTTAAGTTGAGGAGGAAACTGGATGAGAGCAAAAAATAAAACCCGACTTACTGGTAAAATCACTGCGTATATCCTGATAATGCCAAGAAGCTACATGAAGATTGCTTATCTGCTCAGTTTCAGATGCTGTGCACTGAGATGAGGTTTCCTCTGATGGCTGTTTCTGTGCACTTTCCAGGCACTTTATAAAGTGATATAAAAGCACTTTCACAGATGAAGCACTGGAAGGTTTCTTTCATCCACATGTGTGATTTTCAATGATTTTCCATTAAGATCTACTCAGCCATGTGACAATAAACACATTTAAAGCCATGATCCACATCATGACTCCTTAAATGGATTTTCTCAGCATCTTTCAGCTCTAGTGCTGCATTCCACACATTCAGAAATGCTGTTTTCTCTCAGAACCCAGCTTAAGGCATGAGCATCCTCCATAGGGTGAGGTGAGCCTTTAGATCCAGCTTTCAACTGATTTTCCTATGATGTTTACACCTTGACTGAGCCATAGGGGCTTTTAATTTCCCCAGCAAATGTCTCGGTTCTAACCCTGGAAACGTGACAGATGCTAAGAGGCATACACTGGGTTTATCTGTCCTTTCTCTTGGAATATGGAAGAGAAAGAAGTCAGCACTGCAGGGTTCCTTGAGTTGAAAAGAAGCTGCTACTTCTCCAAACAAGGTGCTCATTTCTCAGGAGTGAGATGCTTGAGCTCCTGTCACAACAGCAAGAACTCTTATTTTAAGGCACAGGCACACAGGCAACAAGAGAGTAATTTTTTTACAAGATTTTCTCTGTTTTTATTATTTTCATCTTGAAAGCTCATTTTTACCTTGGTCCATTTTAGGGCAGCCTGAAATTCAACATGCCATATCAGTTTCACAGATTTGAGCCAGGTGTCTCCTGATCTTACTTTTGATCCTGTTTGTGAAATGGAAGAGCTCCACCAGAAATATTTCCACCAGACCAGGCAATCTGGGCTTCAAAATCCTCAAGCAGAGCAGCATACAGCTGGGATGTTGGGATGCCCTCATGGTCATGTGTGGGTTCATTGAAAGAACACATCAATATTTGTAGTTATATTTGTTAATCTTCCAGAGTTGCAGTTGGTCAGAACGTGGAGCTGGAAACACCAAAGTGGTGGGTGCAATCCCCATATGGGATATTTACTTAGGACTTGAGGATCCTTGTGGATCCCTTCTAGCTCAGAACAGTCTGTGAATCTGCGAAAAGACAATAAACAAAAGAGTTAAAATCCCCTTCATGATTTCGAGTGTCTTATCCAAAGGCTGGGGAGCAACGACATTCAGATTCCAGCCCTAGGGATGCCTGCAGATTTTAGGATTACCTCAAAGAAGGGAGGGTCCTGCACGAGAAAAATGATGCCATAAAAGACTGCTCAAATCTGTTAAAATTAAAAATGAAATACAGGCTAGCAACGTTTGGCATTTCTGTGCTAAGTTTAAAACAGCTCCCGTTAGCAGACAGGCAGCAGGGATCTTAAACCTAGTACTCATGTTAAAAGGCGAGAACGCTGGTGAGAAATCTGTCCCATCCAGTCCGGGAGGCAGCCCCAGGAGCGCAGCCAGACACAGCCCCGCAGCCCTCCCCAAATCCAGCCGACCCCTTATCCAAACCCGTGCCCCAAACGCACCGACCCCTTCCCCGCAGCCCGGCACAGGCAGGCCGAGCCCGGAAAAGCAAATTAACCGGAGCGACGTCGTTCAACGGGACCACAGAATGACAGAACGGCTCGGGTCGGAAGGGACCTTAAAAACCACCCAGTTCCAGCGCCCTGCCAGGCGCAGGGATACCCTTCCATTGGACCGGGCTGCTCAGAGCTCCAGACCAGAACGCTCCCAAGGATGGGGCATCCACAATTTCTCTGGAAGCCCCTCACGGCGAAGACCTCCCTCCCAATACCTCATCCAACCCCGCCGGCTCCCGGCAGGCTCCATTCCCGCCGGATCCATTCCCGCCACCGCCCCCACAGGCCGGGGGGGGGGCGGAGCCTCCGCCGCGCTCCCGGCCCCGCGCGCGGGGTTCACTTCCGGCCCCGCGTCTCCCCCCGCCCCCTCCCAGCGGCGGCAGCGAAGGAGTTCGGAAGTTCAAAATGGCCGCCGCGGCCGAGCCCGAGCAGCGACCGCCCGAGTAAGGAGCGGCGGGAAGGGGGGAGGCTGCTCGCTCTGGAGCTTTGGGGAGGCGGAGAAGGGAGGTGGAGGGAGAAGCGCGGGCGAGGGGATTGGGGAGGCGGGATACACACACGGGACGGGGACGACAACAAGCGGCCCGGGTGGAAGTGGTGAGGGAGGAGGAGGAAGAGGGTATGGAGAGGAGGACGAGGGAAGGCGGCCGCACCGGGGGAGCGGGGCTGCTGTAGGCGCCGCTGGCCCCGCGGCGAGGCGGCCCGGCGGGGCCCGGGGCGCTGGATCCGCCCGTGGATCCGGGAGGGCCGCGCGGGGGGAGGGGGAAGGGAAGCGGCGGCGGGCGCGTGTCCCCGGGAGTCCCGCGTGCGCCTTCCCGCCCTGCTGCCGCCGCTCCCGCCGCCGGGAACCGGGACTGCCGCCCGCGAACCGGGACTGCCGCCCGCGCGGGGGACGTGGGACGGAGGGACGTGGGACGGAGAAGACTATTCTTTCCGCGTGGCTGCGAGGCCGCTGCCCGCCCGGGCGCGCAGGGCTCGGGCATCCCTGAGGCCGATCCGGGATGGCCGGCGCTCCCCGGGATCCCCCGCGCCACTCAGGCGTACGCACACCGCCGCACCCCCGCTCCGAGCGGGGCCGGGGGCTCCGGGGGCTGCCCTGGCGCCGAGCGCTGCCCGCCCTGCGGCGAACCCTCCTCCCTCACTCCTTCACTGCTTCCCCCGGGCCCGGCCGCTCTCGCGGTGTAGAGAGTGCCCGTGCTGGTGGAAGCAGAAAGTGATTTGTTGCCGCCAGCCCCTCCTTCCAGCCCTCGAAATGACTGGCAAGCCCGGCTCCCGTTGGGAAGCGAGGAGCGAGCTGCCGCCTCTCTGCCGGAGCGCGGCTCCCGGGCGGGCGTTCTGCGGGCGCCCCGGTTTGCGCCCTGGGGTTTGGGTTTGTCCGCGAACACAATCTTCTGGAAATTCTGCTGGGAGTTACCGATCTAATGCTTGCTCTATCGCTCCTCTTTATACATTAATATTTTAGCCGTATAAACTGCTGTCTGTGTCTTTTTCTCCTTAAACAGTTTTGATTTGAGGCTTGATTTTATTGTTTATCCTGGGAGTAGAAAACCAGTGAGGAAAAGCAGTGGAGTACACGTGAGACATATAAAGAGTACATGAACATGAAGAATAGCTTTTAGTATTGTGGAGAGAAAGTTAAGTAATGAGGTAGAAGCTGATGATAGGAGCCCTGTATGAAGGAAAAGATGGGTGAAATCACTGCACATCCTTATGAACTTCCTGTAATTCTTCTCTTTGAATTCAAAAATAGGAAAAAATAGGGCTGTAGCAAGTTCATGTCACAATTCCTCTGTATTTAAAGGCATTAGCATCTAAACATGTAGACATGCCTCATCACCTTCTGAAATATTCTTAAAAGGCTTTTTCATTCATGTCATTATATCTCTGAAGCATTTAACAGAAGTAAAAGTTTATCCACAGTTTAATGAAATTACTTAAAATAAATATATCCCTGTAGATAAAGAAAACTTGAACTGTTTCTTGCACATCAATCACCCTAATGTTATTGTTGAGTTACAAAGACAGCTGGCAGTTGTATTGGCAGCCTGTAGTGGCCTGAGATGCTGCTGTGGTGATGTGTCTCGTCTGGCACCTTAGCTACCAGCTGGCTTTTCCAGAACTTAAGATGAGGTTATTACATAACTCCAAAATACATACAGCAGCAAAATAATTTTCTTAAAGATTTTGGTGTCACTTTGTGCTGTAAAGAGAAGGAAGACTTACCTGGAACAGCTTGAGCAGATGTGATTTGTATTGTATTTAATATTTTTATAATGTCTTGATGTACCTTTAATGTGCTAACTGGGGACTTACACTGGATCCTGGATCCAACTAAAAGAAATTTGAGGAGCACATAGTTCCCTTAAAATTCTCATTGTCACATTTCCCCACTTATGGCACAGATAGACTTGCTCAGGATGACAAATCAAAGTTGAAGAAGTTTTGCATTTAATGCTTCTTCTTTTTTAAATTTTTTATAATGCCAAGTGCAAGATGAAAAACTGGCTTAAAAAGAGCTTATTTTCTCCTTTGTTCTGATATTTTATCATAATGGTGTGGAGTGTCAGGAGATAGCAATTGAGAAAAACACCTTTCTGTGTGCCTTGAATAAACAAAAGTAGTAATAACATAAAAGACAAGCAGCATTCTGAGTTAAGTCTCTGAATATTTTATATTCTTAACTCAAACTGTTTGTTCCTTGTGGACATTCATCATTTCATAGCACTAAAGTTTTAACAAATAATTTTAGCCAATAATTTTTGTGTACTTTGCAGAAAAATCAGCTTTATTTACTAGTACAAGAATTTGCCTCAGCTCAAGCAGGAGAGAGTAAATGTGCACTGCTTGAAGATCCTGTCCTTAATAGAAAGACACTAATCAAATTCATAGCGAGATGCTGTCCTTTAGGTCTGGCTTAAAATGTCTCTGGTATGTTTATTGGATCAGATGATCGATCATATTCTTCAGAAACAACTGAAACCAGTAGAGTTCAGAAGATAATTTCCACATTTCTGTGTACACTCACCCCCTGCTCCCTACTGGTATGTTTGGGGGTTTTCTTTTCACCTAATGAGGCTTAGTATACAGCAGACAGCTGTTAAAGTGGTAACTAGTAAATTTCACAGCTGTTGTTTAGATGGGTGGGTTTGCAGAAAGGTGAGCTCTGGCACCTGTAATATTATTTCAAAAGGCAGATGTCTGTATTAACAGGCAGTAACTTAATTGATGTTCTGAAGGAGATCAGGAGGTTTTTGCTAAACACTGTAACAACCCCTATTGCTAAGCCAGTTTCAGTGGCTATGGAGGATAATACAAGGGAATATGTAACATCAGGACTGAATTTTATATTTTTTAAAGTTACTATTTGGAGAAATTATCACAAATTGAAAATACTTTTTGAAGAAACACTGTATATTATTATTTAAATAACCTGCTCTAGAAAGTATTCAGCTGTTTTGGTCAGTGGCATTTTACACATGTCAAGATTACCACATTTTTTTGACGCTACTAATCTGCTGCATACTATCAGAAAGCTGCTCTGAAATTAGACTTCCTTAATTTGTCCCATTCCTGTATTGCATAAATAATGTAACTCTGTAAGGTTTATATTTCCTAACTGTGTTTACACTTAGAGAAAAAAATTGCAGCTAGGAGGGTCAGCTCTGGATGAGATTTGCAAGAAGGTTTTGTAAGGTGGTCTGCATCATACTTTGAAATAAATTTTGATCTTTGGAGCACAGCTGTGTTCTGCCACTTGAAAATACTTGTAAAAGGCATAGCTTGGGTTAGGCATTGGAGTGGAGCAGAAGGTGACGTAGATGGTGATGCACTGACAAATAAATACTCAGCACTGTTGTATGCTGTTAACAGATAGGTCAGAATTGAGTGTAAAGGCGTAAGCATTGATTCCATCCACACGTTTGGTTTTGTCAGTGCGTTTGCTGTCTGTTCTTTCCAAACTGTTTCCTTCTGCAGCCGTAACTGCCTGTTCCTGAGGAAGTGTATCTGCTGTTATAACTTACTTAAATTAGTGGTACATTTTTAATTCTCCCAAAGGTAGGTGAATAAATGCCAGTTCGTTTCTATCATAAAATGCTGTCTAATTAACATGACGTAAAGGACTACAGTGAGTTTATAGTACTGATATCTTTATTTTTTACAGGGTTGAGGATGCTGAGGCATCCGAGAAAAGTGTGAATGAAGAAAATGGGGAAGTGTCAGAGGCAGACCAACCTCAGAGCAAGCACAGCAGACACAAAAAAAAGAAACACAAACACCGAAGTAAACACAAGAAACACAAACATTCTTCAGAAGATGACAAGGACAAAAAACATAAACACAGACACAAACATAAGAAACATAAATGGAAAGAGGTGGCTGATGCCTCTGACAAAGAAGATGGACCAGCTAAAAGAACTAAAATTGATTTTTTGGCTCCTCTGGAAGACTTAGAGAAACAAAGAGCATTGCTGAAAGCTGAACTTGAAAACGAATTAATGGAAGGAAAAGTCCAGTCTGGGATGGGATTAATATTACAAGGTTATGAGTCAGGATCTGAAGAAGAGGGGGAGATTAATGAAAAAGCACGAAATGGAACAAGACCTACAACAAAGTCAAATACTAAGGGGAAATTAGAACCTGTGGACAATAAAACTAGTTCCAAGAAAGCAAGTAAGAGTGAATCAAAGGAAAGGACTAGGCACAGATCTGACAAAAAGAAAGCCAAGGCAGGAGTTGATGGAGTCAAAGAGAAGACTACTAGAAGCAAGTCAAAAGAAAGGAGGAAATCCAAAAGTCCTTATAAGAGAAGTAAGTCTCAAGATCAGACAAGGAAATCTAGGTCTCCAATACTTAAGAGGAGATCTCAGGAGAAAAACAGAAAGTCTAAGTCTCCTCCAGAGGATAGAAATAAGGCTGATGATAAAAGTAAATCAAGAGACCGCAGAAAGTCTCCAGTTGTAAATGAAAGCAAAAGCAGAGATCGTGGTAGAAAATCTAAATCTCCAGCAGAACTAAGAAGCAAATCCAAAGATAGAAGATCACGGTCCAAAGATAGAAAACCTAGGAGATCAGAGACTGACAAAGAAAAAAAGCCAATTAAATCTCCTTCTAAAGATGCTTCTTCAGGGAAAGAAAACAGGTCCCCTAGACGACCTGGCCGCAGCCCAAAAGGGAGAAGCTTATCTCCCAAACAGCGAGAAAAGTCCAGAAGAAGCAGATCCCCTCTCTTTAACGACCGTAGATCTAAACAGAGCAGATCCCCCTCTCGAACCCGCTCTCCGGTTAGAAGGGTGAGGAGTAGATCTGCAGAAAGAAAAAGAAGAGAATCAGAAAGGAGGCGTCTTTCTTCTCCCAGGTAACTTAAAGGTGTCATGAGCCACCATAAAAATGCATTACGGGGTGAACTATCTTCTAGTTTGGAGTTTATCTCCTCATTTTGTTCAGAAAATTAAAAGCTATTAAGAAAGGCAATCAGATAAGTACATTACATCATGAGCTTCCTTTGTATGTATTCAGATTTTTTTTAAGACTATTCTTTCCAGCTGTCAGATGTGCAAATTCATCTTGTGGTTGTTGAAGTGCTAAGTTATTTGCTGCTCACACCCTCAAGTTTTAGATCTGTGTTCAAGTTTTTTTTAGATCTGGGATCAAGTTTTATAACTGTGTTCTCCTTTTTATTGCTGGTTAGATTCAGAATTTGGCTTCTATTTTGTTTCTTTGTCAGTAGTTCTGTTGCTTTCTGAAACTTCTGAGCGAGAATCCTCTTCAGTGTTACACATTAATGTTGGCTAAAAGTGGGTAATTATCCTCTCTTTCCCCTCAAAAAAAGCCCTTATGATAGAGTCAGTATGTGTGAATGTAAGCCAATTTTCATGTCAAGATGTCCTTCTCAGAGTATTTTTTTTCTTCAGAATATTGTGGATTTTCATTTGCTAGCAGAATGGTAACGTTGCTTTGTTATTGGACTGACATATGTAATTATCATATTTTGCATGCACTTAAAGGAGAAGGATGGATAACTATTTATTGTATTGGTGTAGTCCTGGCATTTTTTTAAAAACACAGATTTAGCCTATGAAAGCAGTTACCTTGAAATTTGAAAGCCAGTAATGCCTGGGAAGTGAGTTTCCAAGAAAAGAACAGTAGAAGTGTGCGCATTTTTTTATTAATTAATTCATTGGGTGTAAGAAGTTTAAGAGTCAGAATCTGAGTTCAGCATAGGATAACAAATAATTTAAAATTTTGTATCGGGGTTTGAGCTTCACCCAGTTTGAGAACTAAGAAATATTAATTTAAAATGAATTGGAACCACAAAGCTTGGTGAATGGGCACCCAAAAATGTGAAAGTTTCAGCCCGAATCACTGAAGAATACTCTGGTTTCAGGTATGGGGCATCTTTGGGTACTTTGGAGAATGGCCCAGTGATGCTAACCCAATCAAGCAAGTTTTGTAAATGCTACCAGTTTATCTGGCTGCTTCCTGGTGATTTAGGAATGTGTGTGCCCAAGTACTTGAGTTTTTCTGGCATAGTAGTTGACTTTTCCTCTGCAACGTTTTGCATCTTTCAGTTTTCATTTTTCTTGACAGCTTGTATTGCAGCCAGCTTGAATTGGTTGTCTAGACACTGGTTTCAAGTGATGCATGTGTCTAGAATTTTGCTGTCAAATTCATACTTCTGTGACTGCGTGGTGAGCAGCATGTGAGTGGGGGACTACTAAAATTTTCTGCCTGGAGGTGTTTGCAGATCAGAAGGAATAATCTTTCCTTGTAAGACATCTGAATTAATTCCACCTGTGTTCAAGTTTTAACTACTTGTAGTTACTCAAACTGCCAGAGAATTTCAGGAGCTTTAATGAACCGTTTTAACCAAAAAAATCCCAGTAATTTCATTTTTCAAGTTTATTTCCAGTGTTCTGGTCTTGTAAGACACTTCTCAGGTCTTTGACTGAAGTTACTCATTATGTGATGTTACTATGAATTTTTAATCATCTTCCACTTTTTATCTCACCCTGTCATCTCTGAACTAATTTATTTTTTGTAACAGATATTTTGATTAGGTTCTGGCAGTACAATGACTCTGTTAGTCAGGTAGCCTGGAACTCTTAATCCTGTGCCTTTTTATGTAATATTGTTCAAAGGAACATAATATAAATTAATTGGGCTAAAGGTATTGGCCTGCTCCAGCATTTGAGTACAGTAGTTCCTTGTGGAAAGTGCCAGTACTCTGCACATGCATAAATTTTCATTTTGCCTCACTCTTTACTATTTTGCATCAGTTCTGTATGTCTGATCATTGTCCGTAGTTAAGGTAATTGAAACTGATGTTTCAGTTTCAAAACAAATATAGAAAGTCACAGAATGGGTGGAATTAGTCTTTCAGACCTAAGATATTTTGTTCATTGGTGAGATATAACACACACCTGTTATTCCAAGTTGTTCCAACTTGATTTTTAAAAAAAATAAGGAGCAGGAAAAAATAGAATAGCAACATTTCCTTTGAAATAGGGTGAAACTGTTTTCCAATTTCTAATGCAGCCTCATTAGAGTAGTTGTTAAATTTAGAATTTATATTCTTTCCAGTTTTTGACTGACCTCTTGCTGTCATGCAGTTAAGCTTTTTAATCCCATCAAGGATTTTTTTTTGCTTGAATAATTGTGAATCTGTTTGGGCAAGAATAAACAAATTTTGAATAGTGTATATAGTATCAGACTTGAATTATTTTTTAATTTGAGAAGGGATAGTTTAGATTTTAGTTAAGAATTCTAGTTTTCATCTGCTTTTTTAGAATGTGTGAAATGTTGAAGCCATGCAGTTCTAGTGCCCAAATTGAAACAGACATTGTTGTCACTACTGTGAAATAGCATGATCCTAAGCCTAAATTTCAGTAGCATGGTGGGAAGTTGGTAAAATAATTCTCAAGAATAATATTTTGGGGTTTATGTTTTTTCAGTACTGTGTCTGGTAAACATGAAAACTGGCCACTTTTTATGTAAGACCAAAACACAAGCTTTGTTTTAAAACCTCTCTTAGCTTCGTGGTAGCAATTAATGAGCTGTTTCCAGACTTGTACACACTTCCCAGGGTGGGGAGAGACACACGGGAAGGGCAGCCAGCTCTGCAGCCTACTTTTCCATCCCTCCCTCAGAAGCCCATCTGGTGGTCCCTCACCTGCAGTAAAATTTTTCAAGTGAGTTTTTAGAGGGAATAATTTTTTTTGTTTCCATCATGCTCCTGATTTTTACTACCACTCTCTTCCTCTGTTTTAAGAACACGGACCAGGGACGACATTTTGTCTAGGCGTGAAAGATCCAAGGATGTCAGCCCACCCAGCAGATGGTCCCCATCCAGAAGAAGATCTCGGTCCCCCATTAGGAGGAGATCTCGAACACCCCTTCGACGCAGCCGATCTCCCAGGAGGCGGAGTAGATCTCCTCGGAGGAGGTAAAGACACCCTGTGTTGTTCAGTGTGTTTTGTGAGATAATACAGGAGGAATAAGGGTTGCTATCATATGTGTAAAGAGACCATGCTATTTTTTTTGTCCATATTAATGTGTGCTAACACAGTTTAATCAATTTTGTCCTCCATTAATTAAATTGTTTTATTACTTGGAATCATTTAGTGTCTTTATGTTTTCCTCCTTTTCTTAAAAAAACCAAAACAGGCCCCCAACCCAAAATCCAAATCTCTTGTCCTTATCAAACAGGGATAGAGGCCGGAGAAGTAGATCTCGCCTTCGAAGGAGGTCCAGATCACGTGGTGGCCATAGGCGTCGGAGCAGAAGCAAAGTTAAAGAAGACAAATTTAAAGGTAGTCTTTCTGAGGGTATGAAAGCTGAACAGGAGTCTTCATCAGATGAAAAGTAAGACTATATTTCTCACTTACACTGTTTGTTTATAATCTGCAGTTCAATTGATACCAAGAATGAACTAACATTTATCTTGATGGTGTAGTTTTGAGTTGTCACCTAAAACCATAATCATATGTTTGTACTTGTGGTCATGTCAAATTAGTGTTGTGAGAATCTGAAAAACTTTGGAATATGCAAAAATTACCAAGACCTGTTGGCTAGTGGGCAGACCCCTGGGGAGGCTATATCATTAGGTTTTTAAATTCAACTTAATCTTGTGAAAACTTTTGGTCTGCTTACTAAAGCTTACTGCTTGAGGAAAAGCTTTAATAGCTGAAAGGATTAACTGCTGCCTGCAAATTGTATTCATATTTCCTAAACATCTGCCTATTCAATTGTGCAAGAGTATGCATTCTTAATGAAATTATTAAGGAAAAATGATGCTGCAGTGAAAAGGAACAAGGATTTTTTGTTCATTTGTTGTCTTTTAGAAGAGGGCTGTTAATTGTTTGCAATTAAAAATAGAATGCAGAAAGTCCCAATGAGATACCAAGAGATACATTTTCTTTGTAAGGAAATGTAAATATATGCAGTGGGATACATTGCATTGCTTTCTGAGTCACTTGAACAGCTATTGTTTAATATATTTTGTGCTTTATATGCCAAGCAACTGCACTTGGTAAATTTCAGTAGATAATTATATGTTTATGAAATGATATTAAAAAGTCATATTTTTATAGTCTTGAAGACTTTGATTTGGAAGAAGAGGATGAAGAAGCAGAGATAAGACAAAGGAGATTACAGCGGCAAGCAATTGTTCAGGTACATGGTTACAGGAACTAATTCTGTGTTTTTAGTGTAAAATGTCAGAGTAATGGAAGGCTCTTTGCCTCTTGCTGCATTACAATAGTGATTCCTATTGCTCTATTTTTCTAGTTAGTTCATTGTAAATGTTAGTCTCTCTTAAACTCCACACTTCTTATTGTCACAGCATTGCTTTTGAAACTGAAGTGACTCTTCTGTGAGTCATTTTTGCTACAGTTAAACATTCTCTAGTGGTCTTAAGACATGTTAAAAATGTTCTTTAGTTACCTGTATCTGTAGGTTTTCTCAGTAGCTGTTCAGTGATACAATAACGTCATTGTAACAGTAAGTTAAATTTCAATTAACTGGTCAGTTTGTTTCACGTAGAAGTTGTCCTTGTCAATTTCCAAAATTATGTAAAGGCACTGTCATGGTGTCCTCCCTAAAAATACATGTGAATTGCATGAACTTCTTACTCCAGTAACAAGGTAACAGTAATCACAAGTGCAGTGAGTGATGGAAACCCCTGAAAGAAGCTGTGGCCAGAGGGGTGTCACTGTACAGTAGGAGTCAGCTGTCTCTTTTCCTAGGTGGGATTTGGCGCACAATTAGAACATAGCAAGCAAAATGCTGTAGTGTTTTTATTTAGTATCAGGTACAAAATTACTGGCTTTGATGTAGTGCTTATTTTAAATAGCACTAAAAATATTGTTCATGGATTTGTGCAAAGCCCATTGTGAAGTCCTTCAGAACTATGACTGAGCCAAACCATATAAATTCTTTTTAAAGACTGGTTGCACCTGATGTTGGTGCAAGCTGGAAGCAAATTTCAGAGCTGAATTCCATAAATGGAAAAACCTCTGCTTATATTATTGAATAGTTCAACCTAGACAACTGGTTGGTAGCAGCATTTCTTCATCTTGATTTTTACCTTTTGGGATAGGAAGTGAGATCTGTATAATTTCATAGTACCTCAGGGTGATGAAGATTGTAAAGATGATGTTTGAAGTTTTTTAATACTTCTGAAATTTTTCAACACAAATGAATAAATAGGATTTATAGTTCGCATAAAAAAACCTGAATCTAAAAGCTACTTTTCTGTACCATAACACTAATAAAACTGGGAAATATTCTAGAATGTAGAATAAGTAATTTTTCCTCAAAGACTGTGTTTCAATGCTTGTGTGCCAGGATGGTTTAGTAATAAATTTGTTGCTGCTGACATTTTGTTTTGCATAACTAAATAGTTAATATTCAGTAATAATCTGTTTTTACAGAAATGTAAATACCTAAAGAATGCACATGAATATTTCAGTCTTATGGTCTGGACTGTGGTGCATTGTGACAAATTGAATTTTCAGAAGTTATATCCCATTCTGAAAATAATCTGTTGTCTTTATTGACATAGGTGATTATGAAAGCAAATATTAATGTTTCAGCTGAAAGCTCAAACCATTGAAAGGGTGAATATGAAAATGTTTAAATTGTGATAAATTGTAACAGTGAGATTAAAAACTCAATTTCTTTTTAGAAATACAAAGGCCAGACAGAAGACAGTAACATATCTGTACCATCTGAACCAAGCAGCCCTCAGAGTAGTACACGCAGTCGCTCAAATTCTCCCGATGACATCCTAGAAAGAGTTGCTGCTGATGTTAAGGAGTACGAACGGGAAAATGTGGACACGTTTGAGGCATCAGTGAAAGCCAAGCACAACCTCATGACAGTTGAACAGAACAATGGTAAGATTCTGAAATCTTTCTAGTGCAATTTATGAAAACTCAGACACTTGGCTTAGTTTACTTACATACTTCCAGACTAGGAAGTAGATTGACTTTTTGGATGGAATTTGGGAACGTTTTTGCAAATATTGTGGTACTTACAACATAGCATTAAAATAAAGCTTCCTCATTAGGAAGGATAATATGAGTGGAACATGATCTCTGTATTTCTAGTAACTCTTAACGCAATTCATGCTTTACATTTGGAAGGGCAAACAAGGATGTCTGTCTATATGGTTAAGAATTACCCTTCCAAATTTTTCTTTTCACTCAGGCAAGTTGTTTTCTTAGAAGCTTAGTGTAGCCCTAGACTTTGTTTTGTGAGGGTTGGAAATTATGCTCCTTTTATACCTTTTTTTGGTCAAAGCCACTGTGACAGAAGAATATACGTAGGTCTGTAGTAAATTAGAATGATTAAAGCTTTTGAGGGTCATTGCTAGTAAGTCCATTTTAGCAGCATAGGTAATTGCTGAAATAGGTATTTTCTTGCTGTTCGCCCTATCATGTACTCTGTTGTACAGCCATGTTGAAATAAAATAAATTTTGATATAAAACCTGCCTTTTGCCAGCTGCAGCAAAAGGAACACGGTAGATGTGCCAGCACACCCTGCAGTATTGAAAGTCTGCTGCATTTTCTGTCTTTTGAAAGTGGATTACTGTACATCTTCCAAGTCAGGAGAGGTGTGTGCAGTTGCTGTGTGGTTGTTTTTGAGCTAGTTTAAGCTGCTGTGGTTTCTCCCTACAGTTTAATTGTGATAGCAATGTTTAACGAGGGTTGTGGAGCCTGCCCAACCCCTGCGAGGGAGAGTTGCACTTAGTTTGTATTTCATGTCCTGCACCACACCTATCTTTGGGGGCTAAATATGCTGTCTCTAGTGGATGCTTCTCTTCAAAGTAATAAAGCTGCATCTCTCTGGGAGTGCTGTACTGCTCTGTAGTTTATCCTGGCGTTCCCTTGAGCCGTATGTTTTCAGATTGTTCTCCTGCAGCATAAGTGAAAAGAACTTGTTTTAGTGCTTTCTTTACATACCACAGGCTTATTATGTCTGACAGACAGTGTGTTTTTCCTATTTTGTCAAAGCACGTACCGCTCTCTAATTTTGTCTATTAAAGCATATGAAAATTGAAGCCATAGCTACATAGGCATTTTCCACATGTAAAAAAGGTTTTTAAAGTTATATTCACATCTGGGTGGTAGGATTCTGGGTTGGAGGTGGCTGTAACAGCAGCTAAAACCAGTGGGTTATCTTCTTCTGTAAGAGTAAATTTTTATTTCTATGCTGACCTCTTATAGGGACAGAGTAGTAAGTTGCTAAGAAACTAGTCAATAACTCTTTGTAGCCCAGTACAGGTAACTGGAACTAAGGAAAACTTGAGGAAGTTTCTAGAAGCGTCTGTAGCTCAAAACAGTGGTATAAACTGCCTCCCCACAAGTGTCAGGTGACAGGTCTATACCTTGAAACAGTGGTATCAACATCTTTATGCTGTCAGATTTCAGTCTGGTTATTTGGTATGGAAGAGGTTTGTGCATCACAAGACCTGAAGGTTCTGAGCTGAATTAACTGTTTGTTTTCCTTCATTGCGTAGTGAAGGGAGGGCTTCCAATTCACCATGTTCATGGAGTGCTGCCATAATGTGTGCATGAATGAAATAGTTTGAAGTTTGCTTCCTTTTACTAATGTGAACTTAATTTATATTTCTTTGCTTTTATCTTATCAACCAAGTAAAATGTCTTTGGGATTTAAAGATGATTAAAAGGTGAGAAAGGGATAATCTTGCCCATAAAAAAATATTTATCTTTTACACAATAATAAACGTGTTTGACAAAAAGCTACACACTGGGTCCTTTTTAGCAGGGTTGGAGAAAACATTTTCCAAAGAAAGAATTTCTGGGCCTTACAACTTTGGTTTTTTAGTAAAATATCTTGTGATTAGCAGAAAAGCCTGAACTTGTGTATTGAAAACATGACGGTATTTCTTTATATATACACATAATAATTTTATAGTTCTTTCTATATATATGTATATAGTCATTATTTGTAGGGAGCATGTAAGTATGTAGATTTTTCCTTCTGCTATGCTTACTTGAAAGCTATTGCACGTAGTTTTCCAAGGAGATACAAATTTTTGAGTTGTTTGAAGAACTTAACTAGTCTGAGTTTTATATTCTAGAATGTGAAATGATATTTGCTAAAAACATTAGTAGAGGTACCTGTTTGTCATTCTGTTTACTGATCTTAGACTATGTTGTGAAGATACCAAGTGCCAAATTATACTGGCAACAGATTTATTGTTTGACATCTTTTTCATGTTGAGTAATCTGAATTTCATTTTAAGGTTCATCTCAGAAGAAGCTGCTAGCTCCCGATATGTTCACAGAATCAGATGATATGTTTGCTGCGTACTTTGATGTAGGTAATTCTTGGAGATGAAATATATGATTTCTTTTCTGCTTGATTTTTGTTAGAGTCACTGTCACTTGAGGGTTGGGAGAACTTTGATTTGTAAAAGCACATGCTACTAAGTGATTTGTGTATTCTTAATCTTTTGGTCAGCCAAGGCAGGCAAAGTGCTTCTTAATTAGTATTTCAGTGAAATAAAACCTGCTGAAATTAGTGGCAATTTCACCAGAGTTAGCAATTGGGGAATTTACCTGCTGTTTGAATACAATAGCACATGGTAAAAACATGAATCTATTTATAAGTTCAGCTTTTTATTTTTGTTACCATGTTGCAGTGTTCTAAATACGAGTTTTTTTCCAGAGATTTATGTATGGTTAATTAAAAAATGTGTAAGATACTGTAAATGGCTAATGATGCTATGTTGGAGTAATCTGGTGGTTTGTTTGGAGATTTTTTGGGATGAAGAGATACATTTCCTGGTTTTACTTTAACACTTTTTTTATTAGCTTTTCTCTAAATATGCTGCAGTGACCCTCAGATATTGGCAGTCCAGTGACTGCTTTTGAGACTTTATGTGCCATTCTCTATAAATCCTCTCAATTGCTGCTGATGCACAACACTGAGAAATAACTAAAGACAAGAGCTTTCTTCTTAACTTTAACCAAAATTAACTGGAGAATTTTGATGGCAGATTTATCATAGGCTGTGGTTTTACTCTAGTAAAACCCTCTGACCTGGAAAAAGATGAATACTTGAAGGGTAGTGTGTGTGTGTGAGGGTGCATTTTTAAAAGTTTGGAAGTTAGAAGTGGGCCCTTACATGGCTTGTAACTGAGCTCCCCCTTCCAGAAACTGTTGTTCAATTAAAGATAAACTTTACTATTCATAGTTTTGCATTTGTGATTAAAATATTGCCCAGTCTGTTAAGAGATGTCACGAGCAGTTGTAGAAGTGTTATGGTAGTATGTGTAACAGTATTAAACAAGTGGCAAGTAATTAACAGAAATTCAAGGCTTAAACAATTGTGTTTTCCTTGCAAACTGCTGAACTTCTTTACTATAAACTTACTGTAAATAAGTAGTCTTACCTTAGATGGTCCAAAATGTGCATTGTAATGTGACTTACATAAATTCCTTGTGAGTATTAATTGAAACTTTGCCCATTTATGTTTAATAATAATAATTCTGTTGGTTGATCTCATCCTCTTTCCTTGCATCAGTCTTTAGATGATGGCGTGTTATAACATTAAGTTGTTTCTCTCTCCTGCAAGATAAGTGTGTGTGTATTGTGGAGAGAACAGTAGAAAAAAAGGGCTTTGGGAAGTAAACATCAAAGACAAATACAGAGCACACAAGTAAAGCTGTTACTTTTCTTTTTATTTCAGAGTGCTCGTCTAAGGGCTGCTGGGTTTGGAAAAGACTTCAAAGAAAACCCCAATCTCAGGGATAACTGGACAGATGCAGAAGGCTATTACCGTAAGTTTTGTCTATCTGTTTGTCTATCTGCAAGGACAGGTAAAATGAGGGTGCTGAGTGAAGCTCTTCATTGAAATGTTGTTCTAATGTAGATCTTTCCCACATCCCTCTCTTGAGTGTGTAATGTAATGGATGAAACAATCATGCAGGTCTTAACCTCAGTTTTGAAAGGACTCCAGACTTAGAGACTCACCCTTTGTTCCCCATAATTCCCACAAAGCTAGGTGATACAAGCAAGACATTGTATGCCATGAACTTAAAGGATCTTGCTATTTGCCCTCATATTTTCTAAAGATAGAGAATGGTTTATTTTTCTTCAAAAGTTCCATGACGTTTATCCCTTGTAACTTGGACTTGCTTGTTTTTCTCCCTCAGGTGTTAATATAGGTGAAGTTCTAGATAAACGTTACAATGTCTATGGCTACACTGGTCAGGGAGTCTTCAGCAACGTGGTGCGAGCCAGGGACATGGCCAGAGCAAACCAAGAAGTAGCAGTGAAAATCATCAGGAACAATGAACTTATGTAAGTAATCGGGGTTTTTGATAGTAATAAAGCATGTGGAACAGTTGGAAGTTTTTCATGATGTGATTTGAATCTCCCTTTGTTTCAAGTGAAGTAACAGATCACAGCTGTGATTCCTGCCTTTTCTGCTAATGTGAACCAGATAATGGGAAGTGCTTGAGGACTGTGTATCCACACTTCTTTACAGCTATCACAGGAAGAAGGGTATTTGCATTTTTGTCAGGCACTTTCTCATTTGCAAAACTGCAGGGACCAGTGATAGCAAGAAACAGGGTTACAGCTAATTATGAGCTGTATGTTTCTTGAGGTGGGAGTTGTGAACTGTAAAACTTTTGTTTTGATGGACCAAATCTATTTGACAGGCTGTGGGTTAGATCCCAGTCATCATCTGAAACTTACAAGAAGAGCTCCGTGCATTTAATTTTTTTTATATTTTCTAAACATTTGCATGTATATAAGATACATAAAAAGAGATTGTACTCTCAGTGTTGAAATACAACAAAAGAGTTCATTCAGAATGAATGAACATTAACAACTAAGATCTCTTAAACTATGTCATTTGAGGACTTGACTTTTCTACAGTACTTGATTTCACTATCTGTTGCAGTATTTATACTGCACACAATTTCTTGTGTCCTCTTCTATTAATGACAACTTAAATTAAAATCTTTTCCATGTATTTTAACTTGGAAGTTTTGAAAGTTGTCTTACTGTGTGTATAACTGGATTTATTTTAGTTATGTGCATAAGTGTCCAGAAAAGTTTTAAAAGCAAAAGGGAGGGTGATAAGCTGTTTTAGTTTGGTGTGTTGTATGGGTAATAAGCTGGGGTGTGTAATTGAATCCATAGTCAGTTGAGTTTAAGTCTTAATACTGTTGTATGTGGTGAAGCACTTTTTTAAACAAGTGAACTTCTCGAGTGAATGCTGTTTGAAATTTGTCACATTACAGGACAAAATCCAGTTTTAGCCTTAGATGCAACTGAGAGTGAGGAAAAGATAAGTAGGTTGCAAAGGTACAGTGAACATCCAGGAATTAAATAAACTTACTTAGTGTGTAGTCACTGACAGCAAACCATTGTAGGAATTTTGGTTTTTCAGCTGTGGTACACGAATTATTGACAAGACACTTCTCATTCCTGGATAATTATAGCCACACAAGTGAATGTTTAGATTTTAAAAAATACTAGAATTTAACTGATTTTGTTTTAGAGTCACATTTCTCTGTTTTCAGGCAAAAAACTGGCCTAAAAGAACTGGAATTTTTAAAGAAGCTCAATGATGCTGATCCTGATGACAAGTTTCATTGTCTACGGTTATTCAGGCATTTCTACCACAAACAACATCTCTGTCTGGTATTTGAGCCACTCAGGTAAGATGACAAATGTTTGGGGTTTTTTGTAAAAGGTAAAGTACTACTGTGTGTTCTTTACCTGTCTGGATTTGGCTGTTGTTTTGGTACCTTGTTCTAGTGCCAAAATTCAAGAATGCAAGGAATTTTGAAACAAAAAAATATTGTCTGTGGGCACAAATTCACAGACTACTGGACTATTTCTGATTTATTTTTAGCACTGTTGTGAGTTTTCTGCCTGGAAAATATTTGAAAAAAGATAATGTATTAAAGATGGTTCATATCTCAAGTACTGCTCTTAATGATTTTTGTATATGTCAGTATTTTTATTAGTTTTCATAATTCTTCATTTTAAGGGCTTGTGTTAAGATGCATTCCCAGAGAAATTCAGGAAATGCTGTATGTTCTGGAAAGAGTACACATACAGTAACAGCCTTAGGGAGAAAGTTGTTACAGTGATTCTTGCATGCTCACTTTCTGTTCAAGTAATTGAGCTCTTGTGACAGGTTGATTGTAGATACTGTGTTATGGTAGATCAGATATATCAATTGCCTTAGTCCCCATTCCTACCTAGAGACATGAGTTGTTCAAACCCTAAGTTTTCTGTGTCTGTCATATTTTAAATTTTGCCATATTTGGGATGAAGATAAGTTATATACTGCAACAATGAAAATTTGGTGAGATTACTATCATATTTCATTAATAAGCTGTAGAACAAATTATTGTCTTGTGCTACATTATCTCTTGATAACACACTTTTACCTTAATTATGTCCAGTTATGTTTTTGTCCTGGAATGATGGTCTATTTATCTGCTGCTTAGGTCACAAAAAAAATCTCCTTAGCTTTTATTTTTTGTGTGCTTCCTTTTTCATTTATGTCTGCAGAAAATGATTACAAAGGGTTTATGGTCGTTAAGAAAATGATGTTCATGTGCAAATAAATCCTCTCATATCAATATTGATTAAAAATATGCTCTGAACTAAGTCCAGTGTAGTAAGTAATTACACAGCATAAGACAGATCTGATTGACCAGCCTTTTTATTTCAGTTCTGTAGTTCACAGAGTGGAATGTTGAATGCTACATTTCTCAAAAAATATGTAAAGCTAATTGGTTTGTTCAAGTTTGTAGTAGAATTTAGGAGGCCACTATCAGTTTTTCTGTTAAACTCTTTCCAATTCTTTTTTCCCCCTTTTCCCTTAACAGTATGAATTTACGAGAGGTGTTGAAGAAGTATGGGAAAGATGTTGGACTGCACATTAAAGCTGTGCGTTCCTACAGCCAGCAATTGTTCCTGGCTTTAAAACTTCTTAAAAGATGCAATATCCTACATGCAGATATTAAACCAGATAATATTTTGGTAAGTAACAAATAATTAAAACTTTTTTTTTGCATGGTCTCTAGCATAAAATAAAGTATTTGAAATTCATATCATTCTGTTAATTTAGGTGAAGTAAAATTTATTGAAAATGTTAAAGGTTCACCCTTTGATATATAATTATATTGTGGTATAAATAGTAAGAAAAAATACTACACAGCATCTGAATAAAATCTTTTTCAAACAAACATTAATCTCCTTCTGAGATTATTTGAAATTTTCAAATAATCTCAGAAGAATTATTTGAAATTTTCCCATCAGTAGTTGAGAGTTGTTCTTGCTTTCTGCAAAATGGAAGCAGGTTGTTTGAGTCTGAATGGAGATTTTGCTTATGTGAGTGAGATGATGGGGAAAGGTCTTTAATGCCTCTTTTCTGGTAGGGCATGAGAGCAACATCAGAGGAATCCAGTGGTTTCCTTTGGTTTTTTGGACATCATCGCTGTGACAAACTTAGATTTTTAATTTATCTAAAATGTTCTCATATTACTGTCTCAGCAGTAAATCTACTTTGTAAGCATGAGATGTGAATAATATGCTGTTTTATAAGTGGTACTCTGGATACTGGAGTTGCAAATCTAAATCAGTAAAATTTCAGTATCTGGAATGAAATCTAGGTCCACCAAGGATATTTTGTTATGGAAAAAGTACATAAAACTGACTTTTTTTGTATTTTGTAGGGTCTGAAGACATTAACTCTCACTTTCATTTTGAGCAAGCTTTATAATTTTCTTAGAATACAGAGAGGAAGGAACTTCCAGTTTAAAGGCTAAATGTTTTTTCTGTCTCTGACTTAAATGTGTTGTCACTTTTACAGTTTTGTTATCAATTCTGTCCACAAATAGTGCTAATGGATATTTATGTTTAACTTGCAGGTGAACGAGTCTAAAACAATACTAAAGCTTTGTGATTTTGGCTCAGCTTCACATGTCGCAGATAACGACATCACACCCTATCTAGTTAGTAGATTTTATCGAGCTCCAGAAATCAGTAAGTACATTTTGGATTGGCTACATCTATCTCTTACCAGCAAGTGCCAGTATTAGCAGATAAAAATTTGACTCTAATTTATTCTCTAGTCTTAGCAAAACATGATTCTAAGAATACGATGGCTGTCAAAAATTCAGACTTAGAAGGCACGTTTGTGTGACTCTTCATGTGTGTTGGTGATCAGCTCAGTGAGAAGTCATTCTGATGGGTTATAGTTATGTTTCAATTTAGAGGTATTGTTCTGACTTCTTGGTTTTTGCTAATTTAAGGCTGATCAGTTTAGGAGTTAGGTAAAAACCTCCCTTTCTAAAATAGGGGTACTTCAAAAGCTAAAAGCTTTGTGTCCTTTTTTTCATTGGTAGCGTTTTATTCCCAAGAACAGCAGCACCAATATAGTTTACAAATCAGAAATTTTTCATCTATCTGCTTTTGTGATATTATATCAAAGTCTGCCTTTATGGAATTAACTGGAATTGCTCTGTTTCAGTTATAGGAAAAATCTATGACTATGGTATAGATATGTGGTCTGTAGGCTGCACATTATATGAGCTTTATACAGGAAAAATACTGTTTCCTGGCAAAACCAATAATCATATGTTGAAACTTGCCATGGATCTCAAAGGAAAGATGCCAAACAAGGTAAGAAAAATAAGTAATAAAATATATGAAACTGCTCTAATGAACAGTAGAACATACATTCTTTGTTCTCCTTGAATTCTGTTTCTTATCATATACATTTTTTCTTAACAGTAAATACTAGACTTTGCTCTGACTGTGTAATTGATTCTGATTTAAAATCTTATGAAGTGCAAGTATACAGCTTCTTTTTCATAGACTAAGTATAAAGTGAAAGCAGAAACCTTCTAAGCACTGACCTGAAAAAAATGCGTAAGTCAATGAAAGATACTGTGTCCTTTTCCAAAGGGTTTCAACTGTATCTTTGTATTCAATGTCAACATCACTTCCTGTCCTTTGGTATTTTTTTTGTTGGTATTAAATTACTTATGTTAGCAAATTAATGGACATTGATGTTAATTGTGAAATGTGTAAGACACAGAGAACTTGCCTGAAAGGCTTGCCTTTTCCTCATTTTCCAGATGATTCGAAAAGGTGTGTTCAAAGATCAGCACTTTGATCAAAATCTCAACTTTATGTATATAGAAGTAGATAAAGTGACGGAAAGGGTAAGTCCTCCATGTATTGACTGATCCATCACTTTTCCCAAGCTTTCCTACTATATGGTCTTTCAAATGTACCTTGGCTTCCTAATTAAAAACAAGATTTTATAAGCTGTTAGAAAGTCCTTTTGCAGCAGTATGGACAGGTTACATAGTTATAAAATGGCCAAAGAGATTTTTTTTTTCCCCTGGGATGTAGGAACACAATTAAGAAAACTGAATTTAATCTGATGGATATACAGGGTATCTCCATGTAATCTGTCCTTAAATTACTAATAAAAGAAATTGTGCCTTTATTTTGTAGAAGGATGTTTAGTATGATATGGTTATATTGTATGAGGTCACTATTAATTTTGGTATCATTTTGACGTATTATATTTAAGAAGAATCTCAAAATAGTGGTCAGATATGGGAACTTTCCATGTAGACTTCCATGTTCCGAGTTATGGGATGTTAATGTTCATGTGTGAACCTGTGTTTGTGGCCTCCCCCTCCACAGTGTTTTTTACACTCTGCACATGACAATTTTATGAGGCCGTGTGGGGGCAGGGTGTTACTGCTGAGATACAAGACAAGCCTGCTGAAAAGCTGCTGCTGAAGCTCTGTAAAAGGGATGGATAAGGGGTTTGTGCATTACTTCTGTTCTACAAGGCTACCATTTCTGTGTTTCTAGGAGAAGGTTACTGTTATGAGCACCATTAATCCAACCAAGGACCTATTAGCAGACTTGATTGGGTGCCAACGACTCCCTGAAGACCAGCGTAAAAAAGTGCACCAGCTTAAGGACTTGTTGGACCAGATTCTAATGCTAGACCCAGCTAAACGGATTAGCATCAACCAGGCTCTGCAGCACGCCTTCATCCAGGAGAAAATTTAAACCAGATGAAGAAGTTCAAAGGGTTTGATTAATTAAGATACAAAGACTGAAGAAATTTCACAGCAGTTATTAATGTATATAAACATAAATATTTCCCCTGCAAAGTTGAGGAAGAAATGATACATTTGAATTAACATCAAGGCTGATATTTCTTTTAGAAATGTTAGAGTAATTCTGTTTTGTGTCTTATGTGAAAATTTTCACTGTAGAACTGTTTTAATTGCCAAGACTGCACAAAAGTACAATGCTAATGTATATGGTTGCAGTTCGTATATATTATAAAAAAAAAAAAAGCATCTGTTATAAAAAAAAGAAAGAAAAAAAAAAAGAGAGCAGTAATACTGGGTGGTTGATTTGTTTTTAGCAGACTTGGCTTCATTTTTGTCTTTACAAAATGGCCAGCATAAATGCTGTTTATATTCACATTTTCCTAGGTGTGTGTGTGCAGGCCACAGCAGCATGCCCTTGGTGTAGTCAGTGCCGAAGGGGGTCTGTTCCTTCTTGAGCCTGCCCGCAGGGATGGTCTCCTCTTTTAAAGCAGGTTGTGTACAACTTTCAGTACACTGAAGGTAAGCTAACCCATCAACATCACCGGTGTTTAAGCTGTTATTTTACTGGAACAACTGACAAATGAGAGACAGTAGCATTGTGGCAGAATTCCCTGCATGTTTGAGAAATGATCTTGTTTTATTTTCTGGCATTGCAACCGTGGCATAGTTACAACTTCTGTTCTGTTCATCACATTTAAAACTGGGAGAGAGCGCACTTGATGGATAGAGCGCCTTCAGTGTACTGTTTCTTATTACTTTAGTTTTTTTAATCAACTTGCTATAGACTTTGTATACATTTTGTTAAATACAGTTCACTATGACATAGAACCAATACTTGCAGAAGAGTTTTCATTTAATAATTACTTATGTTGGGATCTCATTCAAAAGACCTTATATCTAAAGGATAGATAGACAACATAATTTTTAACTATTTGTATGTCATTTTGAAAGTGTACTGCTTTATGCTAAAAGTGTTTCATTTGTTCATTGTTTTCATTATTTGTGATCATGTTGTCTTTCAATACAGGCATAAACCTTCCACTCTTGAACAAAGCAGCTGCTTTTTAAAAGCGGTAATTGCTTCTTTACCTTTTATTTCTTTTGTAAATGAAGCTTTTCTTTAAGAAATGTGACTTTAAAGTGTTGTCTCTTGCATAAAACAGTTGACACTTACTTATTGTAAAGTGAAGATTGTTCTGCTGCATGTAAAGTGGACCATGCAGATTTCTGTATGTTTTCAGTATGCATCATTAGATAATAAAGTCTTTTGTGAACAAGGCATTTGTAGCCATTTTTAAGAGAATCTGTCTTCAGTGATGGTAAATCAGGTAATTTGTAAGACCTGCCCCTGCATTTCCTATTAATCATTTAATTAAAGGGATTATTAAATGTTATGATCTTTGGGAGAGCTATATGCTATATTAATTGGATATATAATTATCACTGCTTAAAAACAAAGCAAAAAACCCTACAGATACTGTCTGTCTGCTTTCATTGTAATGAAATTATTCCTGTAGGACATGGGATTAAATTCAGGCTTTAACTAATGTTTGTGCTGTTTTTCTCACTTTTCCTTTTGATGGTGCTGAAAGAGAAAAAAGGAAAGCGAGTCACAGGCCACTCAACGCCTACTCCATGGGTCTGATTTGCTGAGACACCAACTTCACCTTCCTAACAAGGTTATTTCTGACAGCATGTGTAGATAAACATTTAGCAACAAGTTAAAAGAGCTTGAGACAATTGAGTTGGTTATACAGGGTGAGGAAAACAGAAACAACCTTTTCAGGACCATACTGCTGTTTTAATGTTCTCTTTGATGTTAAAAAGCTCATCTTTTCATTTTTTTAATAATATATTCTGACAGGCTGTGAAAACCCCACTGGTTTCACGTACTTTATAATACTTTGAACTAAGAAGGATTTTTGTATCCATCTAGGTACATAATGGCAACAGTCATGCACTCTTAGTGCGCTCAAGAATGAGGAAAAATGCCACAAAGCAGGTCATTCTGCTGGTGGGGAATACCCCACCGAGGAGGTGTAATGAACTAACTACGAAAACAAGCAGGAGATGGGTGGTTTTGTATACCTATTTGGAACCTTCAACCTGTCTCTTCTCAATTTGTATTGTAAAATCCCTAATAAAAACCTATCTCTCCCTATTTCTACATATTGAGGTATCTTTTTCATACAGGAAATGAAAGTAGTTAGCTTTCATGTGTAGTGAAACACTAGTTGCTTGCTAGTTAAATACAGCAAGTGTAACTTGCACTTCTACAACATAGGCAGCACATCTGAGGGCACTTTTGTACAGATGTAGTAATAGCTTATTCTTTCTTTTGCTTTGTACTTTATTAAAATAGGAATATGAAACAATGAAATGAGTTGGTGATACAGAAACAAAGCAGTAGAAAAGATGCCCCTTAATGCCTACAGAATTGTTTTAAGCTGCTCTGGAGAAGCATAAAGTTGCTCGTTTACTTGTTCTTTGTGTTGTAGGTGCAGCTCAAAAGAAGATGAAGGCTACCAGAAGACATGAACAAAGGTTTCTGTCCTATAAAAGATATGAAAAATACTCTTCATCTAGTTCTGTCTTAATCTTTTAGTTTCCAGCGTTTCAATTTAGAATTTATTAACACTGCTGCATTACTGATAATTCCTGAAACATACTTGCTGTATTAAAATTTGTTACATAGATTGTTTTGTTTCTGGTTGAAGAGATTTTCTTATTGCAATTGAATGGAGGTAAACTTACATGAGCATTACAGTTACAAAAGCATTACTCTTTAAATGTAGTTTTCTTAAAATGATAGAATGAGCAGTACAAAATCTATTACATTTAGGAAAAAAACTGGGCCATTATATTTGGTTAATGTAAATGTGTTAACCAGAAAACATTTAAGCAGGTGATGCACTTTTTTCTTTAACTTCAGTAGTTTCATTATTTATTTCAATTCTGTCAAACTTAATTATCCATACAGAGAATAGATGGCAGGGGTTATTTAAAAAAAAAAGTGGATTTCAGTCCCCCATCCAGCTGATACTACTTGTTGACAACAGTAGAAAACTTTAGTTCTGGCTTCAAAAACCTCTGGACTTGAGGATTTTTTTGACACTGTTAAGGCCCCTCTCCAGTTTTGGGCAGTGCCTGTCCCTGTAGCCTGAGGTCTCTGAGGAGATTAACTGTGGCTGCCACTACAGTCAGCTGAATTCTCATGGTTGTGGCTGGGTGCAAACAGAAGAGCTGTGCAACAGAGTGAACAATTTCTCAGCTCATCTAATAGGGAGGATAACTTGCCTTTTCCTCCCAAGCACAAATTTTTAATTTATGACTTTGCTAGAGGTCTTGCATATAGAAGGTTTGGCTAAATCTGTTGTGCTAATTTCTGTTTCCTTCTCCCTCATGGTGACAAGGAGCTTCACCTTTAACATACTCAGTTTTCCGAGCCTTCCAAAAAAACAAGATTGCAGCCCTGTGGAGTTAGAATGTGTTCTTATTACCTTGGTGTATACTACTTAGTTTAAAAATTAACTACTATTCAAGAGTTTTTAATAGAAGATAATGATTCCTTTAAAACCTTTTTAATAATACTTTATCTCCATACATAGGGTAAGTGGCATTAAACCTCTGAAGAACCTTTATGTGTATCTTGACCCCCATACAGAAGGCAGACCAGACTGTGATACTGCTGGAGATAGAGGGATCTTCTACAGTATGTGTAAAATTGTAATGTGGCTGGAGGATGTTGAGATGTGGCAATTACTTGAAATTAATAAACTATGCTTAAAACTTGCCTTCATCCTGTCTTCTGTTCTACCACCATATCCTGCTGCAAAGCTGTGAAATATATTCACAACTTTTAAATGCACTAGAAATTAAGTGTAATTCTTTGAATGGGGTTGTCTCCTTAGGTATCAGAGGAGAATCTCTGGGAAAAGTCTTCCTGAACATGTAAAATGGAGCTTTTGTTAAGTTGCATCTTCCATAGCTTTGGAAGCCACTCAGCACCAAAGATTTAATGTGAATTCACTTTTATTTTTACTGTGTCTTTTTTTTATCTTTTATAGCAAGGTGTTAGCCTGTATTGAGTCAGGGAATGAAAGAATTTGATTGTATTGCAGTGAAGGGAAGCCATATATACTTAAAGATTAATCTTTTTAACAGAAAAAATAGGTGGGGAGTAGCAGCTTGGTGAAGTTGGAGGGAATGTGTGTTTCATTTATTAACTTGTAAGTTATGTATCACATTATTAATGTAAGTATGTGTGTGAGTACAGAAGTGAGACTTACCATGTGTGCTCTACACTTCTGTGTCAGTTTTGTTCATTTAAGTATGTAGATAATTAAAACTTAACTTGTGACAATACTTTAAATGTAAAACCTTGGCCTTCCTTCCATTATACATCTGTTGAATTCTTCACTGTCTTAATTATTTCGTCACAAACATCGATTTTGATGATTGTGGCCCAGATATTTCTATAAAGTAGGTATGAGGTAATTATTTATAAAATAATGAAAACCCATGAACATTTACAAAGATCCAGTGTTTGGCTTAAGTTACTGAGAAATAATTTTAAGCTTGTTATGGGAAGGTATAAATGAATCGGCTATATCTGATAGAGTAACTGTTGATGGTTCAATCTCAGAAGTGATTTTTAAGTGAGAGTGCAACAAAAGGAACTAGGAGGGGTCCCTGAGGATTCCTGAAGTACACCCAGTCTGAAAAATGGGACTGATAGTAGCTACCAAGACTAATAAGCAAAGGAAGTCTGTACAGCTTTAAAAAAAAAAAAATTATAACAAAAGTTTCTGGGCACAAGAACGCAGAGAAAAAACTACTCTTGATTGCCAGTAAGTGTTAAAACCCTAATTCTGTATTGTTAGAGGAAATGGACCTTTTCAAAGACTCTTAGTGAAACTCTGACATGTTCAAGGCCTTGAGAGCCAATTTAAACCTCCAGCTACACTAGACCTTTCCATTTGGAGAGGCAGATCTGTCACAGAATCTGACATGGTATCAGGCACAGGCATAGTTTTTTAGAGGATGAAGTTGAATTCATTGGTGAAAAGACAGGTAGCCACCTTAAGTAATCTGTCTTAGCAAGAAAAGGGTATATAATAGTCTGGGTTTGACATTCTGCATATTCACGTTTCAAACACCTCTTAACTACTGATAGCAATACTCCTTGTGTAAAGGGGACAGCTCAGATATTCTACAAAGCTTTCTCCTATGTTAAAACAAAGCTCATCCTAAAAATGCTACCCAGATGAGGTACTCCATGTAAAAGAACCTGACATTTGGGCTGCAGCGTTTCCATGGGAAAGAGCAAGGTTTTGCTCAACTAAAGGCAAGCTGACTTCCATACCATGGTTACTTGAGTATCTACTAGTCAAATAGGAAGGCAACACACACAAATCTGTAAATAATTTCAAAAAATTTGGTCTGGATTTAATATGCAGACAGATTAGGCCAGCTGGGTTAAACTGGTAAAGGTGTGTTCCTGCAGCCAGTGTTCCTTCCAGTGATCTCCTTCACACAGAATAATGACAATTTGGTCACTGTGAGTTTTTAAGTTAAATCTGAAATGCAAACAATGCCTATCCTTTTTCTCCCTGTAGGAGGCTTAAATGAATCTGGCAGAGCAAATTTAGGCATAGAGGTTCCTCCTTTTACAGAGAACATCCAGCACTCTGACAGGGTAGGAAATCAGTGGTTTTACAAATTGATCCAAACTGCTTTGTAGCTCATTAAAGCTAATATACCACATCCATTCTTATTTGCAAGTAATTTGGAATCTATTATATTTATAAGGCCTTAATAAAAAAAAAACTGAGCTGTGCTTTCATGAAAATCCCAAATAATGCCTATATCACAACCTCTTGTTTTCCTTGGGAGTTTTCTTTATAAAATTCCAGAAATCCTCATTTCTTGTAATAAATTACATAGTTGTTGAATACATGAAATTTATGACATCTCACAGACAATCTGCTCCAAAGACTGCAACTAATCCTGTGTAACCAACTTCCAGATTGGTTCCAGACTCCCACAGGAAGGTGCACACCCACTTTACCTTCTTATGCTTGTAGGGCCAGGGGAGGCTGAGGACCTTTGCTGTACTGTGTCTACTGGATTCACAACATGGCTTTGATTTTCTAGAACTCTGATCACAGAACAGAACAAACACATAAACAAAGACATCAAAACACAAGTAACATCTAGGCTTCCCTCCTGTTTCCCAGCTGCCCCTCAGTGACAGAAATTTGACCCACAGTCTGGTTTTG